CCACTAAGCTGTACAGCTAAGTGTTTGATCAGTTTAATTAGAATGCTCATTTGTCATACTTTAGAAGCATTTGGCTGTTGGCTACACAAGTATGAAAAGCTTGGCAAAGATGTATTAATTTTTGCCATCTTTTAAAGTTATATTTCAGAATGTTGAAAAAGCATCACAATTGAGATAGTAGCATTCACCTGCTCCTGTTCACATGTATTTGTTTTTCTGCTTAATCAAGCTACATATCTAATTTTCCACAAAAATTCTTTCATTGCTACGAATGTTTGGAGGCCTTGGAATTTGTGTTTGTTTTTTTAGCTAGTTCAAGGAAGTCAGCATCTACTTTCCGTCTTATATGAGGGTTTAAAGTGTTTTTCAGTAGGGGTAGTGATTCTTACGTTCTTGAGTTATTTAAAAAAAAATCACTTACTGATTTTATCAATGCAAAGGAAATCAAGAACCCAGATATTACTTAATGTTATGTGTTTGGGAATTTATGTTGAGTCATTTGAGAAAGGAGTCACTTTAGTAACTGAAGGCTTTACTGGACTCTTAATCCATCTTACATGAATGTTTGTTTGTTTTTATGAGAAAGTGTTGAAACTCATGGGTCCTGCTTAGAAAGGTGTTTGTGAGTGTGTGTGCACCTGCGAGTTTTGGTGTACGGAGTGGCATGTTCGTTTCCTGTGGCTGCTGTAACAAGTAACTACAAACTTGGTCACCTAAAGCAACACATATTCATTCTTTCATAGTCCCAGAGGCCAGGGGTTCAAACTCATTTTCATTAGATGGAAAACTCAGGATGTTGATTGGCCACCTTCCCTTGGGCGGCTCTGGGCGAGTCTGTTTTGTGCCTCTTCCACTCTGGTGGCTGCCAGCTTTCCTTAACATTCCTTTGCTTGTTTCATCCTTGTATCACCTTTTCCTCTGTGTGTCTTCTTTTTCCATGTGAGAAGGTCCTCTGCTCTTTACAAGAATATATAACAATTGCAGTTAGGCCTACCTGGACAAGCCACACTAAGTGTCTGCTCTCAGTATTCTTGACTGTATCACATTTCTTGGCTAAATATGATAATAATTTCTCTTTGGCCATATAAAGCAATCTGAAAATTCAGGAAATTAGAAAACAAACATGTCCTTTGGAGGGGAGTATATTTCAGCCCTCCTCAGATCCTCCCCACCCCCCAACTCCTAGCTGTGCTTATGCATACTACCATCAGGAAATGCTTGTAGAGGTAAATTTGTATACATTTGGATGCCAGGAGTAGCAGGGAAGTGACCCATGAGAACCCCAGGCATGCTCCTCTCCCTCTGTGTATCTGGAGAGGTGGCAGGAGTTGGGGATTGAAAGAATGTCTTGAAACAGTCTTTAGGGAGGATATCAAATGTGGCAAATATCCTTCTAAAGCTACGTAGTAGCTGGCTTGAGAAAGTCTAACTTAAGAGACAATGACTTTGAGCTAGTATCAGAGTATATTTTGTTAGGAGCAGTGTGCTAATGGCATACTCCCATTATCACTGTTCATGGCTTGCTCTTCAACCTTTTTGTTTTTATTGTTGGTGGACTCTTTAAAACATACAAAAACTTTGATGTAAGTACTTTTTACATGTAATAATTTTTACATCTATTTCTTTTGTTTGCATGCAAAAATTTTGGTAATAACGCTATGAGATGCTTGGCTGTTATCTCTGCCTTATAGATTTTTCTGTAAAGAAATAGAGGCACTGAGAAGTTAAGGACATCATTCCTGTGGTTGGCAGATAGTAAGAGGATTATTAAGATTGCACTCACTATCCATATTCTTGATTCCTGTGCCTGGGATTGGCAAGCCTTTTCTGGATAGGCCTAGGTGTTGACTGTTTCAGGCTCTGTGGGCCACAAAAGTGTCTGCTACATCTTGCCAGTTTTGCTGTTACAGTGCTAAAGCTGCCACATATGTGTAAATGAGTGCATGTGAGTCAATTCTAATAAAACTTTATTTACACTAGTAAGCAGTTGGCTGGTATCAGCCTGGGGGCCAGTTTCTAACTACTGCCCTGGGCTATAGGAAATCGTGTTAAAAAGTTTAAAAATTTTTATTTTTAAATAATTTTAGACAGAAAGATTACATATATTCAACAGAGTTCCTATCACATCTTCACACAGCTTATGCGAATTTTAGCATCATGGATAACCGTTAATATATTTGTGAAAATAATGTTGTATCATGCTATGAAGTCTGTCTTAATCCTTGGCTTGAATTTCTTTTGCTTTTTTTTATATTTAGTTATTTTTTTTTATTATAAAGTCAGATATACAGAGAGGAGGAGAGACAGAGAGGAAGATCTTCCATCCGATGATTCACTCCCCAAGTGAGCGCAACGGTCAGTGCCGTGCCAATCTGAAGCCAGGAGCCAGGAAACTTCCTCCGGGTCTCCCACACGGGTGCAGAGTCCCAAGGCTTTGGGCTGGCCTGCTTTCCCAGGCCACAAGTAGGGAGCTGGAAGAGAAGTGGAGCTGCCGGGATTAGAACTGGCACCCATATGGGATCCTGGCGCGTTGAAGGCGAGGACCCTAGCTGCTAGGCCACCGCGCCGTGCCCTGGCTTGAATTTCTTCATGGTCACATTCTGTCTGTTACAATTGTTCCTCATCTTTAACGACCTGGGCACATTTGAGGAACTCTTAATTTATTTCATAGACTGGCCTGCAGTTTACGCTTGTCCTGTGTTTTCTGATGATTTTAGTAAGGTTGTGGGACATTTGGCAAAAACATCTTAACATGATGTTCTTGTGCCTTCCTGTCAGAAGATTCCTGATGCCTTGCTCCATATTGTAGCTCATGTCACCCTTGATCTCTTGGTTGAAATGTTCTGTTGCATTTCTCCACTGTGAAGCTCCTATTTTCCTCTTTATAGTTCATAAATAGCTTGGGGAAGGCACTCCTCACCTAATTGTGATATCCATTGGTATATCCTGACTATGTCTATGATGCCTGAGCTGTTTGCCTGATGGGTATAATCTTAGTTTGATTTCCTCTAGAAGAAAATGCTGTTAGTTCTTAATTTGTTTATTCATATCAGTATGTACTCCTGTATATGTACTTGGCTGTATAGTTTATAATATAATACTAACATTATTTTGTTGCTGAAATTATTGAAACCTGGGCCCCTGAGAACATCTCTTTATAAAACAACACAACTACAGCCTGCTGGTTCTCTATTCATCTCTAATTTATATTCACCTCCTCCTCAGAATCAGCCTCTGATACTTTTTCTTAAAAAGTATTATAGTATTTGCCCCTATGTCCGTAAGTCAAATGTTTTTATTGATAAGTTATTTATCATTAAGTTCTAGGAATTCCGTGTTTTTGAACCATGGAACATTAGGACTAGCTTCTTTTTAGAGAGACATATTTATTTGAAAAAGTGACAGAGGGAGAGGGGGATATAAAGAGTTAGAGAGAGAGAGACATCTTTTCATCTGCTTGCTCACTCCTCAAATGCTTACAATAGCCAACTCTATGCCAGACTAAGGATCAGAGCCAGGAACTCTAGCTGGGTCTCCCTCATGGGTGCAGGGGCCCAAGGCTTTGGGCCTTCCTCTACTGCTTTCCCAGGCCCCAAGCATGGAGCTGGAAGGGAAGTGGAGCAGCCAGGACATGAACTGATACCCATGTGGGATCCTGGTGCATGTAAGGTAAGGATTTAGCTTCAAAGCCATTGTGGTGGGCCCTGAACTTCTTTCTTAATGAATGTCTTCCATCACCACTTTGAGCTCATTCCTCCCATGCTGTACTATTTCAGTCTAGTTGTATTTGATGAGGTCAGTGTCTTAGTTTGCATTCTGTTGCTGTTACTAATTACTGCACACTGGGTGATTTATACAGGTTTATCCAGCTTGCAGTTCTGGAGACTGGTAAGCTTCCAGGGCTGAGGGACCTCATCTGGTGAGTGTCTTCCTGCTGGTGAGGATTCTAGGCAAGGACTTGAGGCAATGAGATGCTGAGCATCTCACAAGAAATGGCCAAGCTGGAATTTATAATAGACCCCTTCTCAAGATATTCCCTTAAGCCATTCATGAGGACTTTGATGTGTCTAAAGGTCCCAACTGTTAATAGCTTACAATGGCAGCCCAGTCAGCCTGTGTACTGGTGGGAGCACTCTACCTGTAGCATTCAGCATTCATTATTCATGTCGCTGGGACTGCCAGTCTGAGTGCTCCCCGTGGCTGAGCCGTGCAGTAGACCTGGATCACTTCACTCCTGCTGGAGCAGTTTTTGTCTGCCTGTGAGTTAATGCTTGTCCTTTTTGCTTGTGGCCCCCTAAGTTTTCTGTGTATGTGTTTAATTTTAACCCCGATTTCTCCCCCAGCTGCCCTTATTCTTACTTCTCAAATAGGGAATCTTGGATCAGGAACTTTGGCATAACTATGGAGCAGGTTGCCTTTTAACTGGATCCCCAGGTCAGTCATATGTGCATTAAAGCATAGGATAATGGGTATAAACCTCTTTCAACGACAGCTTTCTGGAAGGGTAGCCTTACCTGCCCTGTAAACGTCTGCCTCAGCTTCTCCCCTGCACAACACCCAGCAGCTCCCCTCACTCTGTGCTACTTCCTCTTTGTTGGACCTATCTTGCCTTTCTGTGTTCTCTTCCTCCATCCCTTCCTCGCTTGCTTCATCTCTTCCATCTTCTCTCCATCTGTTTTTCACGTTAGAGTTTGTCCTCATATTAGCACTGCTTGGTTGTCTGCTTCTATTTAAAAGCAGTACGAAGGCAGCTGATTTAAGAGCTTCAGGCATTCAAGCAGGATTTCTAAACAGAGGGCTCCACAGACAGAGCCAGTCCCAGGAGGAAGCCCTTCTCACCACGGCAGTGCTGCCTAGAGGGTTTAAGCAAGAATAGTCTCCTAAGTGTGGGCCTCAAAGTGCAGGCTTTGCTGCCATTTTTCTCCTTTCTTCCTAACTTACAATGCTTCTCAAGATTTAGTGCCTTCTCACTCTTATCTCTCTACATTATTGCTGTATATACTTTGAAAGATATAATATGTATTTAAAATATAGGCCTTAAGTACATTTTAAAACAAAAAGTGAACAAATACTTTCAATTAGCAATAATAATCTGCCTCGGATAAACCTCATTGGCTATGATACTGCCACTGTGCAAAGCTTAAAAGTGAACAAATATTTTCAAACACAACTTCCTCTGCAGTTGGATAGACTAACATTTTGTTGTTAGATACTTCAACATCATGGTGTTATTACATGGTCTTTTGAATATTAGAGCTTGATGGCCCATTTCATTTGGTTATCCTAACAAAGGGGAGACAAAGGTAGTCACAGTATGCCTCAGGTAAACTAGACATACAAATGACCACCATCTCCTGGGATGGAGCAGAGGCTAGAACAAGTTCAGGGGAAAAGAAGGTGTTAAGAATCAAGCTACTGGGCCCGGCGGCGCTGTGGCCTAGCGGCTAAAGTCCTCACCTTGAACACACTTGAACACACCTTGATCCCATATGGGTGCCAGTTCTAATCCCGGCAGCTCCACTTCCCATCCAGCTCCCTGCTTGTGGCCTGGGAAAGTAATCGAGGACAGCCCAGAGCACTGGGACCCTGCACTCACATGGGAGACCCAGAAAGAAGTTCCTGGCTCCTGGCTTCAAATCAGTACAGCACCAGCTGTTGAGCTCACTGGGGAGTGAATCATCATACGGAAGCTCTTCCTCTCTGTATATCTGACTTTCCAATAAAAAAAAAATCAAGCTCCCAAGTCCAAAAAGGGTATAATTGAATGGATAGAAAGGTACAGTGTCAAGGAGTTCTGGAACCACCTCATCTGTCTTAGGAAGATGGAACAGAACAAATCTGTATGTACCAGTAGGGGCACAGTTGTGTGGCTTCCGATGTAGTTTCAGAGACTATGGATATGGGAGTGTCCTGAAGGCCAAGAGGATGGTCGTATTAACCTGTGACCTCAACAGGGACTCAGTTCTCGAGTTAACCTAACTCTAGAAATCTACCCCTAAGGGTTCGAAACAGAACATGGTTGCTTCCAGCACTTGCTGCTGGTGTCCTGAGCACAGCCTGATGCCATTTTGGTAGGGAGTCCCTACTCCCTGCGTGTGCGTGCGTGCACGCGCAAACACACACACACACACACACACACACACACACACACACACACACACACACACACACAGCCAGAGCCAGGGCTTGGTGTCTAATCCACTCTGAAGCCTTCTGCATCTTCAGCTTTGAATATGAACCTGTCAAGTGACAAGCCATGGTCCTGGACTCTAACTTGCCATCTCCTAACCATGACCAATTTCCCAGATTCCCAGTGTGGAGTCTGGTGAACCCTTTCCCCCACTGCAGAGCATGCCGTCTTCTCTTCCAGAGGCTGCTGCCTTGGAATACAGAATTGTAATTCCGCGTTGTTATAAATGATAAAATTCTGATTAACCTGTACTGCTGTTTATACATGGCTTGAACTCCAACATGTACTGACAACACATATTTAAGGGAAACACATGTTTCCAGTTTGAGGTAATACATTTGAAAAACCAGTTTTTTGGCACAAGTGCCATTGATAAGTTGGGGGCTGCCTCACAACAGTACGCAAGGGAGGAAAAATGTCATCATCAAATATTCATGAGCTTCCCACTTCTGCATCATGCTGTTGTGACTGCTGGGTGCATGGGACTTCTGCTGGGCTGTTTTTATAAACTGTAATAATGCTGCCTTACAAATTGCCCTCTGAACCTCAGCATGCTGAAGAGCTTTCCCTGACATCTCATGTGTCATACTAATGGGGAGGATTAAGGCTAGAAGTGCCTGAAAAAGTGCAGTTTAAATAGATCCTTTCTTGGAGTTCAAGCTCTTTTGGTTGCCGAGCCTACACTAATTTGTGTGATTCTTTGGTGGGGACCAGGCCACTCTTCTTAGACCCTTTTAAAATGAGTACTTCCTATTGGTTCAGTGTTTCCTTTCAAATGGGGCACGGTTAGAATAATGTGACACACAGCGATTTTTAAGAGATTAAAGCCTTACAGCTAATTGCCTGAACTAATTATACATAAAGGGCCAGACCATTAGTGTCAATAGGAAGTGACTTCAAAAAGTACGCTTTGACCCAAAGATTGAATAGCTATTATAAACAGTAATCAGTGAGGTGGTAGCCATTGTATAAAATATCTTAGCAGGAAATTATTCATGTCTGTTCAAATTTTCCAACTTTGTCACTCTTACAGTTGGTTATTTCTTATTCAAAGAAAATATGCACCCTCTGAGTGTGGTGGCTAAACTAGAAAGCTCAAGGAAAAGTGTTTTGTGTAAATGAATGTGGTGCTTTGTGAGCCCAGTCACCCTCGATAATTCATTTTCAGGCTCTTTTGGAAACTCTTCTTTGAATTGCTTAAAATGTCAGTTTTCCTAGGCTATCTCCTGCAACTTTTCCTTCTCTACTCCCTTCCCTGCTAGGCATCCTCCAGTTCTGATTCTGTGCTAGCAAAGCCAGAGTTTCTTGATTTCTTTATCTGGACCAGTTCTTTTCTGAGTTTCAGATTTGTGTTTCCATGTGGCAGTCTTACAGGAGTTGTGGAGGACTGGTGCATGCTCTCAGGAGAGCCAAGATTCTCTCTCCCAAACTGCATCCTGTCATGTTTCTCCATCTGCAAGTCTGTCCAGTATCTCTCCCTGTCTTATTGATTGTAGCACCAACATCTTCCCTTCTCTGTTGCTGTCAGCTGTGTCCTTGCCTCCATGGTCTTCTTTCTGGACTGTAGCAAAAGCCTTGTGACTATTCTTGCCTAGTCTAGTTTGCCTCCTTCCAAACTATCCACAGCTGCTATTCAAACTGTTCAAGCACAAATATTGTCATTTCAGTATTTGTTTATATAAGGAATGGTTACCCATTGTTGTTAAGCTGAGATTTTTATTAGTGTGATGATTGGCTTTGGTATAAGCCCCATCCCTAATTTTCCACAGCTCATTGACTGATTGAATGTCTTTGGGTGCTTAACTTTGTATCCCTCTCTGCATAAAGCCTTTTACAGATGATCACCTGTGTCTAGGATGATCCTGCCCATGTTCTCCCTGGCTGTTGCCTCTTTACACTTCCGATCTGAGCTTTAACATCATTCTCAATGACATTTCCAAATGGCCTACCCTGTTGGTTACATTTCCCCATTCACTATGCCAACAGCATCCTGTATTTCCTAGCACTCATTATAATTATAACTGAGTATTTGTGTAATGACTGATTTGATGACTGATTCATCAACTAGCCCACAAACTCCCTGAGAGCAGGAACCATGCCTGTCTGGCTCACCATTTTCTCCCCAGTGCCTTTCATAACAAACATTTGCCAACTGAATGTATAATAATGCATTGGGACAGAAGCTGTGGCATATGCTAGGCATAGTTGTACTTATGTTTGAATATGGGGTATCTGATGTTCTAGGAACTTGAACACTTCCCACTCCATAATCAAGCAATACTGTGAAGGCCAAATTTAGATCCTTTTAACTGTTCAGTTGATGCATCCCCTTCTTCTTCCCACCCCCTTTTGGAAGTACACCATATTTGGTTAGGGTTCTACTGGAGAGGCAGAGTCAATAGAAAAGATTTGATTCAGGAATTAGCCTGTGGGATTCAGGAGGCTGGCTAGAATGAAATCAATCCATCAAGCAGGCTTTTATGAGGGGCAGGCTGGTATCACAGGCAGTGGGAAGCTGCTCAAAAGTGGACTTTACTCTTTGGGGAAATTCTAGTTCTTCTTCAAGGCCTTTCAACTGATCTGGTCAGACTCACCCAGATTATATAGAATAATCCCTCTTACTTAATGTCAACTGATTATGGACATCAACTACACCAACAGAATACCTTTAGAGCTCCCCTCTAAGTTGGCATTTGATTGATCACCTAGAGACTAAACTGTAACCTGATGTACATTCACAATTAACTCCCAATTTGAAAGCAGTATTACTTTTAAAAATTTCGGCACTTCTGAGACTTGCAATGATAATCAAATGTTTTATTCAGTGAACCTATTATCAACTATGAAACTAACTTCTATGTGAAAGTTTTTTTTTTTTAGCCTATTATGCTGAAGTGTTCTGGATAATAGCATTACTGTGCTTTCTAAAAAACAATGCGTTGCCACTTCAAATGTGAATCTGTAATACGGTTCTAGGAAAATTGACCCTTTTCTGTGCAGTCCTTCTAATAAGCAGGCAGCATATCTTCCACAGGTGCCTTTTTGTTTATTAGCACAGCACACATTACTGAACTCAGAGCTGGACAATAAAGATACATGTTGAGCAGTACACCAGCCTCCACTGGGCCTTTCAGTGTAGATGGGTAGGCAAACCATGAACCAAATCATTGGAGGCCCGGAGTTTAGTGAGGCTGGAGAATAGACTGAGAGGGAATCATTTTTTGATGATGGCAGAGTGTGCAGACCCATGAGCATTCAGCTTAGGGATCCAGCTTTATTCTTTCAAGAAAAGAGAAATCCTTCCTTTTAGAAGTACTGTGTTCTGATGATTTAGGAAGAGTGAGCTGATGTAGAGGGTGAAGTGAGAAAAGGAGACATTGTTAGTGTAAGGAGTCTGAACTAGAATTCTGGCTGTAAGGGGCTGGCATTGGGAACAACAGTCAACGTGTTGCTGGGGCGGGGGTGGTCAGCATTGTGATATAGTGGATTAAGCTACTGCCTGCAACACTTGTATCCTGTGTGAATACTGGTCAATTCCCAGCTGTTCCAGTTTCAATTCACCTCCCTACTAATGTGCCTGGGAAAGTATATTGTCCACCCACATGGGAGAATTGGAGTTCCAGACTCCTGACTTTGGACTGATTCAGCTGCAGCCATTATGGTCATTTGGGGCATAAGCTAGCAGGTGAAAGATGCCTTCTCTCCTTGTCAATGTAACTTCATTTTAAAGAAATAATTCTTTTAAATGCTTGTAACACACACATCGCAAATTGGTGTGCCTCAATTTGAGTGCCACCTCCACTTCTGATTCAGCTTATTGCCAAAGTACACCTTGGCAAGTACTGGCTCCTGCCACCCATAAGGGAGACTAGGCTGAGTTCCAGCCTCCTGGCTTCCTCTTGGCCCATCCTTAGCAGCTGTGGTAATCTGAAGAATGAACTAAGTCAATTG